CATCAGAAAATTACGGAGCATGTCATGATTGTATCTCACTTTTAGACTACTTAGTAATATGGAACAAATAATTTTGTATGAAACAAAAAATTGTAAATTATTTCGTCTTTATTTATTAGTGTATATGCATTAACCATATATGAAGAATAAATGTTTAACAAAATAGAGAATAATACAAATGTTTCTAATGAATTTTAGTATATATAAAACTGGGTTATTTGTCATTCATTATCCATATCGCTTACATAATGCAAGAATGTTTTCAAACATTGTTTTCCATTTGTGTTGCGCTTACATCACGTATGTCATCCACTAAGAAATCATTAATGTAGTCAAATTGTAGCACCATTACACATATAACATTCTGCAGTTCCGCTAAGACTTTTAACAATTTAACAGCTGTCTCTTAGGTATTAAGTATACAATAGATGATAAGTAAATGATTGCAGAAAGCACAATTTCATTGTATACATGTATATAATCTTTGAAGAGTGAAAATTGTATATTTTTCTCTTATTAAGCATGTATCCAGATCAACTCAAATTTGTATATAATTTCTTAGAATATATCTTTTCTTGCTAATAACAAAACAATACTTGTAGTTATACATATTACACGCTAGTATACAACATAGGATATTAAAGTAAGAATATCAAATGTCTTTGTTATTTAAAATTTTATAAAAAAAAACTTCATATTTGGAAAATCGCGTTATTTTTAAGCAAGATATATAACGTTAGAAAAAATCCTCTTTCTCAAGAACATTTAAGATAAACAGTTTCTGAGCCGTGCATTCAATCTTTAGGGAACAATATGACTCTGTAATTTTCTTAAAGTTATTTTATTACACTATGTCTTAATAATTTACTTTAAGAGAGTATTAATGTTGGCCAAGATTTCGGCAATTTTCATTACTGTGCGACGGCGGCTGGTACCGAAAATGTTTGATGATCCAACATTATTAACAGACCTGGCAGATCTGTCATCATCCATTTTTAACTGTTTGAAAATCCAATTTAAACACTGTTGGTATATCAGAAATCTATCAGTTTGTATTAAATATTTCTATTATACCTGTCGGAAAAATCTTTTTTTTATTCTATCATATTTTACTCATAAGTTTTATTCATGAATAAATAACGCAATTTACGTAAAAAGAAAAATTTTTAATTCTCAAGCTTCAATTTTCAATGTAAAGATCACTTTTATGCAGTTATATTTACGTTAATATCCACCAAACCGATGATATAAATTAACTTTATAATGATCCCAAAATATGTATAGTAATAGCACATTACCATTATTAACAGCATCCCTGCTACGGTTAAATTTGATGACATGGACAGTTTTTCGCAGACTTATTAACATAAGTCTTTTAAACATATATTAGTTGATACGCTGAAACTTTTTATCGCTCCAGTTACCTTTTCACCACAAGCACGATAAATTAGCAACACATATCCAATCTCACTCACTATTATCATAGTTCATTTTAAATTATCCTTTTTCAATAGTCATGAACGCGCATCGCAGGTGTTTTCTACAATACTAAACTGTAGACGTTACAAAAGCGACCATAGTAAATTATAAATTCAGAACATTTCTGTTATTGAACTTTGACACGTGACGCGTTTGATTGAAATTAGTACTACTTTAACTTTCAGAGGGGAAGTTAGGGCGTATGACACCTCACACAATTTTGTTATAAAACAAATTACTTCTCGCGTCCTCTTTCCGTGTTTTTTCTTCATTTCATTCACAATTTTAAGAAAAATATTGTTAACCCTTATTTTAGAATATGCCGAAAAAATATTTAATAATTTTTTAAACCCAAATAATAAATAGTGTCGACGTGATAGCTGTTTGGGCTTGTTGTCCCATGTATACAATTTTTGTGGCGTGTATACAGCAAAGGTGAAAAATTGTTACGTTAATATCTTGTTAATTAGTACGTATACTATACATTTTTACTCAGAATTTAATGCTCTATCAATTTTCGGTGGAGAAAGTAGGTCACTCCATTTTAAAGAATCACGGTGCCCTTGAAGAAGTCGCCTAAACATCTTCAGCCGCAAAAAAGCACATACCGTATTATGTTTTAAAATTTTTGTAAACATCTTGCATAGTAATACAATGTACACCATCTTGGAGTTAATGTTCAAAAGTACATTCATGATAAAAATATATAGTTCATAAACTGAATCTTTTAATAGTTATTCGAGTTAGCTGAAACGCTTTGTTTAATACCACTATGCAATATTAATACTTCTTATTTATAGAACAAATCGATTTTTAAAAAAAATCACTTCTAGAATGTTATCACTAAATGCCCTTGAGAAGAAGTTTCTTTCTACCATTACATACTGTATAAAATAGCATGCCTTTGTTTTGCAAACTTTTGTTGTACTATTACGTGAAATGGACATATTTAGATATCCTCATTGAAATATTACACCTGTATGATTAGTGTTTGTATTATTATTTCATTTATAAAACAAAATGTATACAATGTATTTGTCATACAAATGTTTTTTATCGATACGAACCTGTTATTTTTAATATATTTTCATAAATAAAATTTATCACAGTTTATATTTTAGTTTTTTTATTTAAAGATTTTTCTGTATAATATACAACTCATAACTGCACCTGCGCAAATATTTTGTTTCATATGTTTGTTGTGTTCAATTATGTAAAGATTGATACATTGGTGAAATTTCACAAATAAAATGTAATAGACTGTCACATGGTACAACTTTCCAAAAGGGACCATGTTCTGATTCAGATGATTTCATAATGGTAACACATCCTCTTGTGTGCGACGGTTCCCCCTTTCCCCACGCTCGATATTTGAAACAGGAGAGCGGTTCATCTAAAAATAATTTCTTTCCTCTCAGGAGATTAAAAAGAAATTAAAAATCTTTATTTGAATTAAACATATTGTAGTACTGTTCAATCTAAATTCTACTTTAAGGAACTTACAAAATGTTATATCATATGCTAACTTATTTCTGAAATATATGCTAATTTGTAATAATTATTAAATACAATAACATATTAAAATTAGGTACAACGCCTATAATTCTATAATGTATATCATTTTCAAGTATTAATGATACAATCTATTTAATATATTACTCGGTATCATATCATTTATAATCAGTAACTTATTTATTAATTCCGATTTGATAATTCTTCTATTATACTGAAAGATGGAAATAAAGAATGGTAAATTGAGAAGTGTACAGAAGAAGGGTATAGTTGATAATTATTCACTAATCGTGTAAATAATATTTAACATATCTCAACATACATTACACTTAATAATTATTAACAAATTAATCGTTCTCTTAATATTAAAAACAAAAACCTACAAAAGTTAATAACTGAGAATTAATGCTTTTATCAAAATTAATAACTACCAAATTGATTTTTCCAAATTTTCTCATGATCGCGGCTACTGAGTCCAACGAAAGTGGGCGTATTTTCGGAAATATACTTTGCCAGACCTTCCGTGCGCTCCTCACTAATTATGTGAGCAAGTGTAGAATTTATCTTCTGGCAAGAAATTTCTGCTTGGCTATAATTCAAATAATTGTTCGAAATTACGAAAATCCCTGTCTTCGGAACACAAGTCAGCGTAAAGTTCGTGCCTAAAAGTTAATCACAAAAATCTGTACATTACTCATACTCGAAATATTTTCTAAGTTTTATCGTGTATCGAATATCTAAAACACGTTGTGATAAATTTTATCTTTAATATTAATTAACAATAATACATTTATGTCACAAATAATATATAAACACCGTTATATTATAAATATCATACTTGATGAAACAGAATAATTGGAAAACTTAATTTATAGTATACGAGATCATATGTATAATTCGACGTAAGGTAATTGTGAATAATATTTTTTTAATACTGTTTAAAATAGTTTTATTTTTCATTTACCGGATGGAATATAGCTGGCGTACATGCTATAGTATTGATAATTCTTGTCTCTATGGAAAGTAGTAAAATTGTGAACTTCTGGACACTGAAGAGCTTCGCAAACTTTAATCGTACCTTTACGCCGCTCGTTTCGTGTATTCAAATTCCATTCTACATGAAAAAATAAGATCTTGTTTTTCTATCTTTGTAGTGTTACTATATCCTATGCCAGTTAGTATAAGCGAATTAATCCGCATTTTATTTTTAATATAAAAATGAATCTGATACGAATTACTATTGCAAGCAGTTAATAATATCAACAGCTCAATGAATAATTAGGTAGCAATTATTTTTCTTCCGGCGATTTTCGTTACATGTATATTACATATGTCTGTGTACTACACTCGTAATTTATACTTATTCGATATTTATTTGTAATCAAATTAAATTGTGGATTTCTTGCACATGCATATATGTATGTAGAACTTACGAATGTATAAAACACTGTAATATAAAAATTTAAATAAATAAATGGATATCAAAATTGTGTATTAATTTTATAATTTAATGTGCTTTAACCTGATTTATATATATATATATATATATATATATATATATATATATATATATATATATATATATATATAATACATACT